AGAATTTCTTACATCACGGAGATACAGCGGAACTTCTAATTCAAAGTAAAGCAATTGTACACACAATGAACTAGTGAAGAAAGCGTAAAATGCTTACAGAGAACTAGGAATGACTCTAAGAACTTCTTAATTTGAACTTCTCTCAAGTAGAACTTCAGTGGTCGACTGATAGAGCTCGGAGTGGGTTTATATAGAGGGAGTGTAAGAGCTGGGCCTTCCCCCCTATTCCATCTCTATACTTCGTTGTCATGGTGGAAAAGGAGTAACGTGAAAGTGTTTTCAGTCCTGAGATTTGAGATTCACTTGTACAAACGTCTGTGCATGTGTTCTGTGTTCCCCTTCTTCGAAATATATTTGTTTCATTCAGTTTCATATATGGATGCTCGCACTAACTAAGAGAGGACTGAAGCAGAAAGATTATTTGCGTCCGAAGAAGCAGCAGAAGAGGTAAGTAGCAGCAAATCCAGATGCTTCAAAAGTTGCCCCCACTTCGAAGCAGATTACTGCCATTGGGTAATTCTTTGCCTAAAAAGTGTTGCCTACTATAAGAAAATAAATATAAAAAAGAACTCAAGGAAACGAATGTTCTTTTCTTGTTGTTGATTCATCATACATAGAATCTGCTAAAGTTTATAACTTTATTTTTCTACTTAGCAATATATTGGTAATGTGATTTGGTTTTAACCATTCATTGTTGGTTGTAAAAAGAGCAGTGTGCGAATGACAATCTATTTGATAATATTTCCAGTTGTTGATTTAATAATCTGTCATTGTGCGCAGGCTGCGATTGTGAATTCTCGAACTCTTGTGAAGTGGAAAGGTGCTTTCATCAGCATAAGGAGGCTTTTATTTTGCTATCATGCATTCTTGGAACCTTTTCCTTTCTTAAGTAGGCCAAATTCCCGAGGAGATTTTGAATTTGACTAATGAGACAAACATTGAGAATCAGAGGAAGCAAAATTTGGTAGAACGGAAACAGATGGTCAGAATGAAGCAAATGGATAATCTGAACAAGTGGAATATTTCCAGTGAAGTGAATGGTTTATCTGATAAGTCATAGATGAAACTTTGGTGCTCCATCTTTGTGCAAACAACTAATTGTAGAATGTTAAATTATCCTCTCCTGCGGTCTTTATTGCCATCAAGGACTTCCGTTTCTTGTGGAAGAATCAGTTGTGATACTTTTCCTTTTTCTTTCTCTCTTTCGGCACTAGCAGCTGATGCTATCTATCATTAAGTGATTAGATGGTTCATCCAGCAATCCTCTGCGTTTTATGGATCCATCATGCATGTTTGGAGCTTCCTGTGGTTTCTCTTTTATTCTGTCAGCAAATCAATGTACCGCTTGATGATACCAACAACAAAGAAAAAAAAGGGGGGGGGGGATTTACTTTCACAAAAAAATCAACCTTTTCTGCTATGAATGTGAACAAATTCATGTACCTGTTTAGGTAGTTAGTCTTTCTATTTCTAACTATGATCGTAAAGGTGGAAGTGACTTTCATTGTGTACAATCTGGGCATGCTAATATTAGTGGATGACGATGCTTCATCACCTGACATCCACATCCTCGACGGTCTCCAAGTTTGAACTGTTCAAACCATATGTCGTCGCTGGGACTTCAATCTCAGTAGGAAATCGTACCCTCTTGATTGAAACCATATATAAAAAATCTCATCTCAATTATGGGGTTGTCATTGTCCTTGAGCACACACTAGGAAAATTAAAAGGCCATTATGTTCGCTTTTATGCACTGACTTTGGCATAATGAGTTTTTCTAGTGTCAGTAGGTGAATTAGAACCTTTTCTAATGTCATTCTGCAGACAATGAAGTTTTCATTATCCTCCTGAGGTTATTTCTAATAATCCTTTCTAATGCACCAATATGACTTAGAACCTTTTCTAATGTCATTCTGCAGACAATGAAGTTTTCATTATTTTCCTAAGGCTATTTCTAATGTCATAATCCTTTCTATTGCACGAATCTCCCACCAATAGGAGGCCTAAGGTACGAGAACATTAAAAAAAAAAAAAAAAGTTATTTTCATGACTCCATCCTAAAATCAATATCAATCTGACCGTTGATCGAAAGCTAACTGCTGCATGAAAATTTTGGACGATTGGTCAGATAAACTGTTACAGCAATGTAATTTTGGGTATTTATTCATCTCCACTACATACATGGTTTTTCACTTCTTGTCTAGACCAAAAACAGGACCGCAACCCAGACAAGGAACCAAAAGTGACAGCCTTTTTATTATACCGTTCTAGCATCCGTAAATCTAATACTCAGTGATAATTGTAACCAACGAATTCAATGGAACAAAAAGCAATACAGTTACCTCTTTAACTATTGCCTTGGAGATACTTGTGTTTATGCTAGACAACACAAACTAAAGAAAGCTGGCAGGCAGTAACAATAGCAGATGTACCGCCGTTACTTGTGTCGTCTACATTAGACACCACAAACTAAAGAAAGAAGACAGGCGGTAACGCATACTTGTGTCTTTATTTCCACCTTTCAGTTGAAAGGATGAAACACAGGTCACGTCTGGTTTAGCTTGAGGTTCTTCATTATCCAGAAAAGACCTACCTGAACTGCTACTGCTCTCTCATAAGTTCATCAAATATGTTCGATGGCAGAGAACAAAAAGAGAACCAATTACTTGCCAATACCATTTTCATAATCGCAGAATACTTAATTACATTATGGAACAAGTATTTCAGATGAATACCAGCACCAGGCTTAAGGGTAGGGATTTATGTTTAACAAAAGTGAAGCAACACCCTAAGATCTTGTTTTCAGCATTGTTTTGGCAACTTATATATATATCATTCATGAGCAAAACCAACAGAACGAACAGCCCAACACCAGGTAAAAGGGCCATGCAGGAGGAAACCTCAGAAGCACCAGTGTCTCCTTTGTTCAAAACAGAGTTTTGTGCAATATGGGGAATGTACAAAACCAAGGCACAGCTTGTCTTCAAGTATGTTATGCAGTGATGCCTCTCACATGTATGGCGGCAACCTTGGAGGAGGCCTGTGCTGGTATCCATTTTCTGGACAGTTTGGTGTAGACCTCTCCGCTGTAGCTCTTTGAGTATAGTTTCCTGACTGAGGGTTCTGGTTTGGGTTGAAAGGGCTCCACCAATGTGATTCACCCTCAATAGGAATCCATGGGAGTGGGCTGATGCCCTCTCTACCCCATCCATAAAATCGATCGACATGTCTGCCTATGCTCTCACCTTCTTGGTGGTTTCTGTTTACAGATCCCGAGACTGAGAAGCCATAGAAACCCCCTACTTCAGCTGAGGAAGGAGCTGCAATGGAGGAAACAAGAGTTAATCCCCTTGGTCTCATCCTCCTGATGGGAGCAAAAGGGGAGCTCCGGAGTGATGAGGAATACAAGGATGGATGATACATGTGACTGCCAAGACCACCATTGTGACCCCTAATCTCTCCTGTAACTGGTGGGCCTAGTGACCCGACTAAATTGCTTCCATTGCGTGCAACAGACCTGAAATTTATAGGACAATGATGACCACCATCAAGACATTCACAATAAAGACCCTGCATCATTTTTTTTCTAATAAAATTAAAAAAAAAGTGGCACTTACCCATGGATGAGATGATGGGGATGCACAAAGGAGCCTAATCTATGCTGGTTGCTGGTATCATTTCTGGCCATCCTTACACCATATTGAGATGCAGACTGATCCACATTTCCTGACAAAGGAAAGGAAGGAGAGTGCTGCTGCTGCCAATTGTGGCTTTGTGGTTCAGTTGAAGGAAAACTGTGGGAGTTCATCATATCAGAAGATGACTGTCCTCCTAAGCTACTCGGATGTTGATGAAATAGGCCGTTTTCAGGAATGGAATCAGCAGAACTCAATGGTGCAGCACGCATAGCATTAGGAAAGCCATGTAGGGCCAAGTATGGGCAGATATGTGAGCTACTTGAAGAATTTGAATGGTCTCGGAACATTGAATTACTCATGAACTCATGATCTTTAATGAAAAGGGGAAAGAGTTAGAAGGAATAACAATTACAAAAATCTGATTAAAAAAGCTGATGAAGGTAAACCGCTTACACGAACTCGGCATTGATTCAGCCTCCCTGCAGGATGAACAAATTTTTAATTGATACACTGAATTGTAACCAAAATCAGGTGAAAACAAAAAAAAATAAAAAGGATGCAACATTCTTCTCTATATAACCAATCAGGCAACCAGGAGCTACACCTTTGTGAAACTACTTAAATTAGATATTTGTGGGCCCAAAAACATCTCAATAAGCTTGATGTAACGATGATCAAGAGACAACTCCTATGGGGTCAAAAAAGAAAATTAATCTTGTTTTACACTTTTAGTTATCTGTTCATGCAACTTAAGGGCTATCTGCTGTTTTGTGCTGGAATAATCTTAAAAAGGAAAAAGAAAAGAGCATGGATATTGGTATTATGTTGAAATTTCTTGATAAAATTAAACAACCAGTAGAATACATCACATGCGGTACAGTTCAAGAGTTCAGATCTGAACTGAAACAAGTATTTTCTAATCTTTGAATTCGAGAATTATTTTCCGATGCACATCTTTTAGATAAGAATTTGA